CCCTGAGTTATAGTGAAAGGGGCAGACCCAGTACCTTGAGTGAAGCACTGCACTGCCCCTACTCAGTCCTTCATGTTGTAACTAATGCTGTGTGTGGGCACCAGGGGCTATGGCTTTTCTCATTGGCAAACAGCAAGCTTAGATGTGTGAACTTCCTTTACATTGTAAGCAACTTTCACCAAGTAAGCTAATGTTGCTCCCTTAAGTGTAGACACAATGGAAAAGTAGAGCAATTGTCACAAAAGAACCTCCCTGCCCAGGTGGCCTGGGAACTGTGTTCAGGGAGGATATGATGGTGTGGGGAGTTGGGAGTGACTTTAGAGAGCACTAGAGAATAACATAGCTAGCCTGCCCATTGTTGATGGCTAGAGTGTAGGCAGTGTAGGACTTCCAATTCTCTGTCCACACCTGGGGTGGGACCCTGGTTTGGAAGGTGGTTGACAGGTATCCTGAACCAAGTCCTGGCTGGTATTAGTTTCAAAGTTAAATGGTCAGTTGCTCTTTTTGTTTTTGTTAAGAGTTGGTGACAGTTTTCTCTATGCAGAGATCCCACCAAAGATTTCATTTTCTCAGGAAAGAAATTATCTTTGGCTAATGTTGAGTGAAGAAAAAAAGATAAAATAAAAGGATATGGCAATAGATCCATTAAGTCTTTTCAATCTAACCCAAACAGTAATTTTCCTGGACTACAAAATTTATAAATTCTAAAAAGACTGTTACTCATATTTGCTCTTGATTATATGGGATAGAATACCTCACCAGTTTGTTCTCAATTCTTGTATCTTTTTAATCTCTAAGAAATATTTTCAGATAAATTTCATTCTTTTCCCTTCATAGGTAGAATAATATCCATTCTATCACTCTTCCCAGTATCTTCGGGATGTGATCTCTTGCTGTAGAAGAGCAAGAGTTTCCTTGGTTTAAGCTTTCAGTGACAAAGTTGTAATGGTAGGAAGTTAGATATTGCGTGTTCGTTGTGAATGGAAGCCAGAGGAGACCCTCCCTACCTGGGAGGGCTTCAGGGGGTCACAACAGTGGTTTTCAGTGCTGAGCAGATGAAGTCTGGTCTTACTCACACCAAGGCAAGTTCAGTGGTTAGTGTCAGTTCCCAGCCTTCACCAAGGTTCCATGCTCACTCCTCTCACCCTTTCTAGGTCCTGAGGACATTTAAGGACTTGGTTTAAAGGCCATCTACTCAGTGGAGTCGACTTACCCTCCTCATCTGAAGCAGGCCAGCCTGTTTCACTCTTTTCCCATCCCACGGCTTTCTCTTCCTAACAATAATCACAACTAGAAATACATTATTGTGGTAATGTATGAAATTCCAGTTCTAGGGACTAAGAATGTTCTTGAAATAACCTATATCCTAACAGTAGGAAGGCTCCAGGACACTCTCCTACATAGCATCTCAGATAGACTAGAAGGCAGATTCAAGAAACTGGTCCCCACATCCCTTGGGACATGCTTGAGCTACACTTAGAAATTTCTGGTGACCCCAAATCCCACAGGGTGTTCTGAGAGCAAGTGTCTCCTGTGAGCATAATCTTAAGCTCTTCTGAGCTGATTTGCATGTTGTCATTAGACAAAGCTCTAGGGTGCTCTCAGCATCCTTAAAGGCAGCTGGTCAGGGCCCCTGAGGAGCAGCCTCTAGTCCAGCTCTCCAAGATGGGGTCTGGAGCTCCTCTGTTGTGGCTCCTGCTGGTCTGGGCTCCAGGTGAGAGAGGGAGGCACACAGAGAAATGTTGAGCAAATTCACTGTGGCCGTGATGTTTTCAGTGTCTCTGGGTCTTGGTGGCTGGAATGGAAACATTTGGTATAGGTTTCCAGTTGCCCTGTTAGCTTTCATGTGTTTGTTTGTTTGTTCGTTTGTTTGGTCTCTAGCCTCCTTGATCATGTCTCTCAAAGAGAGGGCCACCACCTCTTGCAGGGCCAGTCAGAAAGTCAGTGATATTTGGAAATGAACACAAAAGTTATCCATGCAATCTAGATCTTAGCTGTTGTTTTCCTGGCAGACCTAGGATGGCTGGTCTATACTGAGCTTTAATCATTGTGCTGACTGAGCAAGAAAGCATGGGACCCAACAACATGGGCAGTGTTTTCACTGACATGCAGAATCAACCCATGTTCCTCTCATCTGGGAGCTAGAGTAACAGGAGACAGAGAAGCTGAGCTGAGGCTTCCATGTTTCATTCTGTCTTCTATCTGAGGCAGATCTCCTCCAGAGCACTGACCCAGACATTGATATGGGCTCTGAACAACAGTGGACTAGGAGGAACATATACAGCAGCTGGGGTGGGGTATCTGGGCTTCCAGCTGCAGAAACCATTCACCTCTTCTTTCCTCTTGAGCAACCCATCCCAGGTGGTCATGTTAGAAGATGCCATGTGCTTAGCCTAAAGGAAGAATTTCTCTCCCGGGCACATAGAATGGAATTCCTGTGTCCTCCTGTCTCATGTATCACCTAGACTCAGCAAGATGGTGTTTGGTGCAAGCCTGTTGAAAAGAAATTAGAATCCTGTGGTTCCATTTCTTTCCATCTACTGGCAATGTGCCTAGACCACTTCTTTGTGGCATGATTAGGTCAGGTTGGATGAGGAATTCCAAAGAGAAGAAATCTACCTTCTAGACACATCTTTCCTGTACTTGTTATACATCTTTCCTGAAGGCCCTGAAGATGCTTCATTCTTTGTAAGGATTAATAAAGAACAACACTGAGCTGGGCCCAGCTATGTAGGTGGAGGGACAACCACAACTGCACAGCTAAGCAGGACTCAGGTTCTGACACTCACAGCACAGATATCATTTCCCTGAAGAAAGAGGTGGTGTTGTCCAACTCTTCAGCTACATTGTCTAACTCTGATTCTTGTTTCCTATAATACGTCTGGGGGTTTCCCTACAGCAGCTAAACTTCTTTGCTTTGTCAACTTTTCACTACCTCTCAAAGAAGCAGCTTTATTAATGTGACTCTAAGTTCTACACAAATCTTTTTGGTTTTCCCATGTATCTTTTTTTTTTTTTTAGATTCTAAGTACACATAAAATCATATGGTATCTGTTTTCATCTGACTTATTTCTGTTACCACAGTATCTTCTAGGTCCATCCATGTTGTCACAAATGGTAAGATCTGATTCTTTTTTATGGCTGATTAACATTCTATTGTATATACACCACATTTTCCTTATGCATTCATCTATTGATGGACACTTAGGAGCTTTTGTATCTTGGCTATTATAAATCATGCTACAATAAACATAGAAGTGCATAATAGCTTTTCAAATTAGTACTTTTGAGAATGTTAAATCATAAAAATTCTTTCTTGGTTACAAAAAGGCTTTGAAATTTTCTTTTCTACCTGTATACAGAAGCCATAATATTACTAATTTGAAAAAAAAGAATCTCTGTTTCCTGAATGATAATGAACTATGCTATGGTATGGTCCACAAAGCTGCCCACAAGTCAATACAAATAATAAGATTTGGTAAAGGGATACAAGGCATCTATTTGGGGAACAGAGCAGTCTCTCTGAATCTCTATTATTGACCATAATCAACTGAATGAAGAAGGACTGATGCAAGTGGTAATTTTATTGTAGATATGTCTCAGTTGTCAGAGGATGTTAGTTTGGGGTCAGTAAAATGGGAAGCTAGTGTGCGATTTATGTGGGAAGAGAGTTGGTAAGACTGATCTATTCTCCTGCAATCAGATTTTGTGAGTGGAGAATGTGATACTCTTTTTGTTAAGGTTTGTTTATTTATTTGATAGAGAGGGAGAGACAGAGAGAGCAGAATGGAGGGGCTTGAGCTCATGATTCTGAGATCATGACCTTGAGGTCAGACTTGAGCTAAAACTAAGAGTCAGACGTTTCATGGATGGTGTGACAATGTGATATGATAGTCTTATACTTTCACCCATAGACTTTATCAGTGCAGATAGTCCAAACCCACACTGTTTTGACCAACATTGGAGACACACAGAGGCCTATTCCCTGACAGGCCCAATTGGCGTTTCTCTCTGATTAAAAGGGAGACTTTGTCCTTGCATGAGTACTGAGATCAAGCCATCTAGCAGAATGAGCTTCCCCAACTGCTGATCACTGAAGTGGATTCCTGAGCTCCAGGGCACCTGTGATTGAAGTTTGTCAACTTGCCTAAATAACTGTACTTACTTGAGGATACACCCAGTAAGTCAAACTAGGGTCAAACAGGAAATGAAAAGAGAAAGTAGATACTATTTTAAACCAAAAGAAAATGTGGCATATCAAAATTTTGATTGCAAAATTGGGTTGCAGGAAGCAATGATTTAATAACATTGAATCTATAGCATTAAATATGTTTATTATTTGCAAAAGTCACACATTGGTCACCTTTCATGATATCATATCTGCTACCAAATTACAAACGACTATTTATATACTCAAAATCCAAAACTTTTACTACCTGTTCTCCGTTCAACCACCTGACACCGGCTTGTTTAGATGCCATCTCAAACATGTCCATGGAGTGAGAAGATAAGTACTAAAAAGGAGAAACAGGGAAGTGGATAAATATTAATTTCTTATTATTGCCTGATATATCCCCTTTAAAAATGTACCAAATTGCTAAATTCCAACAGGTGTATAACAGTGTGCCTCAGTTGACTGTTGTCATGCTGATGAAAGTTATTTGACAAGTGCAGGCAAGGCAGGGAGAATTAGGATGAGTGTTCATCCCCCTACCCCTTTGCTCATGACTGCTTTCTTAGAGGGTGCTTTGATCCCTCTGTACCCCAGCTACTTCTGCCAAGTAAGGTTATGCCATTGCCTGGGCCTTCATGTGCAGGGTTTGGGGTGCAGCGAGCCCTCATGGCCCAGAGCCTACAGCTGCAACCTATCCCCTTAAGCTCCCCAATATCTTCTTTTTACACTGAGAGACTCTGTTATGCCTGCTCCCCAGACAAACAACATATGTGGGCAGCTGGGCCATGACACCCAAGAGGTTTGTGTTGGGAGCTGAAACACTGTGGGAGGAAGATGTAGACTTTGCTGGCAGTAATAAACTCCAACATCCTCAGCCTCCACCCTGCTGATTTTAAGGGTGAAATCTGTCCCTGACCCGCTGCCACTGAACCTGTCTGAGACCCCAGAGAAACGCTTGGAAGCCTCATAAATCAGCGGCCGAGGAGTCTGGCCTGGTTTCTGCAGGTACCAATTCAAATAGGATTTTCCATCACTGTGCAGGAGACTCTGACTGGCCCTGCAGGAGATAGTGGCCAGCTCTCCAGGGGTGACGGCCAGGGACAGTGGGGTCTGCGTCATCACGGCCTCCCCAGTGGATCCTAAAGTAATGGGAGAAATGTAAAATTATATGCAAACATTCCTAGGCATTTTCAAAATTTTACTTTGGTAATTATTCCAGGCTAAATCACTTTTTATGACTTTTTAAAAAAGGTTTTATTTATTTATTAGAGAGCATGAGTGGGGAGCAGGGAGCAGAGGGAGAGGGAGAAGCAGACTCCCTAACGAGCAGGGAGCCTCATATGGAGCTCCGTTCCAGGACCCTGGGATCATGACCTGAACTGAAGACAGAGGATTAACCAACTGAGCCATGCAGGTGCCCCATTTTTTTTGTGTGTGATTTTTATTAATATCTCCAAATACCCGATTTCTAAAAAGAACCTAAGATTTGCAACATAAAAGGGGGTGTCTAAAAGTCACCTACCTCATCCCCTTTTCTCGACCAGAGCATGGATCTTTATTCCCTTTCAAATATTTCTTACTCTCCTAGATCTAAACATCACACGCCCCTTCCCAGAAGGTAAGACATAGGCCTCTAACACTCGAACAAAATGGAGAGCAGTGGTGTCCGAAGAGCTCACTCTCCCCAACTCATTCTCCTTTCTCATCATCCCTCTGTCCTTACCTGGGATCCAGAGCATCAACAGCCCCAGAAGCTGAGAAGGAAATTTCATTTTGAGAAGTTTATCTGATGAGTCCTAATCAAGATCAGAGCTGGTCTTTTATCTCAGATGCAAAGGTTTTATCTGAGACTTTGTATCTTAGTCCCTCCTTAGGGAAAAATATGCAAATCCCTGGTGGGTACAGCCCCTGTGGAAGAGCCAATGGGAGTGTGGGGGGCTCTCTTGTGAGCAAAGAAATATAAAATGTCTGTGTTTGAAAGAAAACTGAGAGAGCTAAAATCTATGCTGCCTATAGAATAATCACACAGAGTTAAATGTTTCCTTCTTTTCCTTCTTTTTCTACTTCTTTAGAACTTTCCCAGTCATATTTATACATCTTAATAAGGTTAAGTTCCATAAATATTTAGTGAATCTTAATCTTTTTTCATGTTTATTTAAAAGAGTCTAAATTTGTTCTATTTTTTTTAAATTTTTTTTTTATTTTTATTTATTTATGATAGTCACATAGAATGAGAGAGAGGCAGAGACACAGGCAGAGGGAGAAGCAGGCTCCATGCACCGGGAGCCCGACGTGGGATTCGATCCCGGGTCTCCAGGATCGCGCCCTGGGCCAAAGGCAGGCGCCAAACCGCTGCGCCACCCAGGGATCCCTGTTCTATTTTTTTTAATTGTGCTGAAACAAATGCGAAGTAAAGGGCAGAAATCTTAATTGTGCAACTGAGTAAGGTTTACATAAATTCACTGTCCAGATCAAAATATAAAGTATTTCTAATTCTCCAGATGCTTCTTTCATCCCAGTGGAAAGGACTCCCCCCTCACCCAACTAAGGGAACTATTGTTTTGACATCTATCACAATAGTTTGGTCTTTCTTGGACTTCAACTTTATGTAAGGTGAAGCAAGCATCCTTCTGTTTCTCTCTTCTTTATTGTTTCTTTGTTATTTTTGAGTGCTTCTTTCCTTCTTGTGCATTAGAGTTAGCTCCTTATGACATTTCCTTGAGTTTGAAGGATTTCCTTTTGGGATTCTTGTAAGCATATCTGCCATTAATAGCTTCTCTTCATTTTTGCTTATGAGGGATTAGTTTTACTTTTCCTTTATTTCTGAGGGTACTTTAGTGGTTATAAAACTCTTCATTGACTTTTATTTTTCCCTTCAGCACCTTAAACCTGTCCCTGTTCTGTGGTTTCCAGCAGTTCTGATGAAAAGTTAGCCAATTGATTAGTTTCCCTTAAAAAAAGGAGTCCTATTTTTTTCTTACTGCTTTCAAGATTTTCTCTTTGTCTTTGATCATTTTAAGTATACTGTGTGTAATTCTGAATCTCACTGTGTTCCTCTTGAACAGATTTGATTGAGTTTCTTTGATCTATTCACTAAAATGTTCCATCATGTGTGAAAGGTTTTTTTCCCTTATTCTGTCAAATATTTTAATATTTTGTGTTTACATAGCTGGAAACACTGAAGAATCTTGCTCCAATGCACACCCCAACTGAAGTCCATTTTTTTCCTGGCAATACCTGATAGTTTTTGCTGCCATCCTTATCTTGGTGACAGATGGGCTGAGTTGGGGACAGAAATGAGCATTCCAGGCAAAGGGACAGAGCCACTTCTGTCCACATTCAGAGCTCTAGTTCTTTTTAAAGAGTAAGCACTTTTCCATTTGTTTTGTTCCTTTGGTAGTTTCCTAAAATAAAGTACTGAAATAGTTACTGATAATTTTTCCAGCCATGTACAGTGCTGTTTCTTGTTCATTTTTGCAGAAAAGAGTCACTAACCTGTTCATTATTGTGTAATTGGAAGTGGATTTAAATGAGTAACAAAGCCACACTGAATAGGAATGAAGGTGTGGATTAACTATGGTTGACCCTAGAACAACCCAAGGATTAATGGTGCCAACCCCCTCCATGCAGTTGAAAATCCATGTCTGACTTTTGACTCCCCCCCCAAATGTAACTGCCAGTAGCCTAGTGTTGGCCAGGAACCTTACTGATAACATAGACAGTAGACTAACACTTATTTTGTATGTTAATGTATTATATATTGTATTCTAACAATAAAGTAAGCCAGAGAAGGAAAATGTTATGAAGAAAATCATAAGGAAAAGAAAATACACTTATAATACTGGATTGTGATTATATATATATATATATATATATATATATATATATATAAAACCCATGTGTAAGTGGACCCGAGTAGACAAACCCATGCTATTCAAGGGTTAACTGTAAGTAATACAGTAATTTTTAATTTAATTTTATTTTATTTTTTATGAAACTCTTGTTTTCCTTTTCAATTAGCAATATTACTTGGGGCTCCATAATTTTTTTCATTTGCCATGAAGGATATCATGCTTTGTGGACTATTATAAGTCTGCAGCCAGATTTCATTAAACAAGAGTGGCTGTTCTCAGTTAAATGTATTCTAATATAGTAATTTTTAAATAGAGAATTTGGGCACCAGCCCCTCAAATTAGAGAGAAATGAAATTCTAAACTGATATTGATCTTGGTCACTTGAAGTTCTTATTCTCAGAAGGCTTTAGCAACTTTGAACAGCTTGTGTATATTCCAGGATTGAGCAAGTAAGTAACCATGCTGTAGGTAACAGGAGCCTGAGTTGGTGCCACCAGACACCAGAATTACAACCAGAGAATGAAGGAAAACAGAGTGACACTTGTGGAAGTCTTTAGTAAGTAATTATTATGCTCTTTTCTTATTTTTAGTTATTTTTATTTCTATGCCATCACTTATTTTGAAATAATTTTAGACTTCCCTAAAGTTTCAAAAATAAAAGATAGTTCCCATGCACACTTGCCCTAGGTCTCCCTAATTTTTTCATCATTCATACCATAGCAAAATGATCATACACCCAAATTAATAATAATATTATACTATAATGGAATATACTTTTAAATTTGGATTTTATTGATTTTTTCCACTAATGCAGGGAGGTCTGTTCTTGGTGCCCTGAGCAACAGGTGGCTGGCCATTCTTCAGCATTATTGAGAGCTGAGGAGAGAGTCAGCATGGAGTCATCTGTGAGACGCTTTAGCCAGCTTTCCCAGACACTGGTTATTGCGACCAGACCCAGAAGCTCTTCCTGCCCTCCTTCAAGGGCCCCCCACCATTTTCAAGTTACCCCAGCTTGGTTCTTCTTTGAGAAAAGTGGTGCTCTGACCTATTCCCTGGAGGAGGAGGCAGCTGCTCAGCTGAGCAGAAGGGGTGACCCCACATGGAAGGGTTGTGTTTAGGGCCGTTGCCCTGCACAGGCTCCCAGGAGCCTTCTGTGAACATGAGTGTGTGTGGTGTCTCCAATCTCCATGCTGGTGATTGGGAATGTGGAATCTGTCCCTGACCCACTGCCACTGAACTGGTCTGGGCCCCTTGGAGCCCCATGGGACACCCTATAGGTCAGTGCTTGAGGAGATTGGTGTGGTTTTGGCAGGAACCAAGGCAGGTAGGAGTGTCCAATGCTCTGGTTGGGACTGAGATGGCCTTGCAGGCAATGGAGACACTTCCCCCTCACCCCCCCTCACCCTCACCCTCCCGCCCCCGCCACTGCCACAGACAAGACAGATGTAGCCTGAGTCAACACAGCTGCCCTGGATAATTGGAAAAAGGAGGAAACCTATGGAAATAAAAATATGAAATAATAGCTTTGAAATAAAGAAATGATGCACAAATTCATATTTTTTCTCACAAATGTTAACTATTTTATGGATTTTATTCAAAATTTTGAACATCTATCCCTAGAATCAGTGGCTGAAATATCATAGTCTTTGTTGTCAACTGTCCCATGCACTGGATGAGAATAGAATATCACTTTTTTGTTAAAGCTATCCCCTACCGTGAATGCAGAGCAACAGGGACCAGAAGGTCTGTTCCAGAAAGAACTGGGCAGCGGAACCTTATAAAAGCATGTTTTCTTTTTCTTTTTTTTCCTAAAATAACATTTAATTAGAATAGTAAGATATGAGCAATAGCAAATAAAATGTCTCATTCCGACAGTTTTTTAAGAGGTTGAAACCAAAGCATTTGCCCAGAAAGTTTTATGTATCTAGATCTCAGTCTGTACCTATCATAGTTTCTTTTTAATTCATCTAATAAATGGCCTAGCCACAATGAGTTCAAACAAATATTTAAATTAGATGCCCATGTAGTTAATTTTGGTTAAATATTTATTTATTTTTTGATTCATCTGTACTTTAGTACACTTGTGGATATTTTTCAAAGGGTAAAACAACTGCTATAGTACCATTTAATGATTTCATTAATATAAATTTATTTGGGAAGCCAGGTTTAAAATATGCTGAAACTGTTTCTGGGTCACCTGTTTTGGTTAACTCTCTGGTCTAGTCTTATGATTGTATTTTTTTAAGTACATAATCTCTTAATCTCATAAATTGTAAAAGCATGTTTTCAACCTGGATGAGCAAGAGAAGAACAAAGACTCATATATGTATCTTAGTGGCTATCAAGTTTCACACGTGTGTCTCTGTGTAAAGAGACACCACTTTGGAGAGACACCACTCCATGGTGCCAGTCAACTCTTGCTGAAGGCTCCCGTAAGAGAAAACTAGTGGCTCATGGGCTACTTGTACCCAGATGCCTGGAGATAGTCCAACCATGGGCTCAGGTTGGGCAGAGCCGAGGACTAGGGATAAATACCATGAGACTGAGCTGACTTTGTGAAGTTTCAAATATGATCTGAATGATCAGGATGAGAAGAAGAAAGAGTCACAACGTTGTGATTTTTAAAATTTTGTACTGAGAGATGTCTCTTCTGCCCATTTTTCATTCCTGAGTGTAGTTTTCAGTATAAATCTAACCCAATACACTGTTCTTTGTTGGTACTTTAAGTCATGAGCAGTCTGGGCCCAGTTCCCAAGAAGCTGAGATACCAGACTACACCAAGTCTTTTCTGCATTCAAGAGGTGACAGTAGATGTGAGCAAATGTGAGTCTGATCTACAGGTCTCCAAAGCCATGACCACCACCCTGGGGAGGATCTGCAGGTGTGACACTTTGTCATGCTTGCCTGAGGGAAGTGCTTTGATCTGTGTCCTTCTGAGGCTCATCACTGACCAGATCA